CGGCCGCCGCGACGTCGGACAGGATGGCCTCGGCGAAGAGCTTGGTGCGGCCGTAGGGGTTGGTGATGCCGCCGCCGCCGGCGGAGCGTGACGGCGGCGCCCCGGTGCCGGCCCGCTCGGCCGGGTGTGCGCAGATCTCTTCGCGGAGGGGGCGGCCCCCGCCGGCCGAGAGCGACCCGTAGACGGCGGCCGACGAGGAGAAGATGAAGGTCTTGACGGCGAACTCGCCCAGCAGCGCCACCAGGTCCACCAGCCCGTTGATGTTGTTCTGGTAGTACCGGAGGGGGTGGCGGATGCTCTCCTCGACGGCCTTGTAGGCGGCCAGGTGGATGACGCCCACGATGTTGGAGCGGGCGGGCGTGCCTGCCGGGCTGGGGAACGAGTGCAGCTCCAGGATGGACCGCATGGCCGGCAGGTCGCGGTAGCTCACCTGGTGCATCTCGACCATGGGGCAGCGCCGCCGCGCGCCGCCGCCCTGACGGCGGTCCTCGTAGTGGCGGCGGGCGATTTCTAGTATCCCGTCCAGCACGCTGCGATAGCTGTTGCTCAAGTCGTCTACGATGATGACGTTGTACCCGGCCTTGACGAGCTCCACGACCGTGTGGCTCCCGATGAAGCCGAGGCCGCCCGTCACCAGGACATACTCCTCGCGCCGGGCGGACAGAGACGCCGCCGGCGAGGCGCCCGAGCCGTCGTCGAGGGACACGTCAAGGAGCGAAACATCGGGAGAGGTGGTCCATGTCGCGACTGTTGGCGGGCTATCTGCCGAGTCCCGAGACGGCGTCCCGGGCGAGGATTCGGAGGACTCCATGAGCAGCGTCCTTGGAAGCAAGGAGGAGGGTTGTGTCGACGAGAAGACGAGCGCGGGTGGGAGAAAAATAATCAAACGGGAGATGGTTCCGACGCCGCGTTTTCTATTTCACGGCCAAATGAAAAGAATAGGGGGAAAGCAGCCGTCCAAGGTCGGCCGAAAAGGTGCCTCGAGAAGTTTGGATGGCCTCTGTTCATGAAACATGTCGCTCGGCTTGGCGGCTTGACGGGCCGTATAAGAGCCACAGCCTGGCGTGGTTATGGGACGTGATGGAATCAAACTCTTGCGTCTTTGATACTCTCTGGTACCGGCTGCGACTAGTGCCGTTTGCTCATGGACTATTTGATGCGATGCCTGGTGAGCGAAAAGAGAGTCGCAGGTGTACCGTGCTCTACGGTGAGGACCAAGCCGGGCGCAAAACGTGCCGGCCAAGTCTCGCGCAAGACGACGGAGCAAATAGTCTTTGCACTTGCAGCCTGGATGGAGTCAATATTCCACGGCAAACTCGGGTCGCGCTTGCAAGGATGGCCCAAACCACGGACAAGGGTCGAGATACGATGCATTGCAGTATGTACATGGTGTAATACGCCGTACCGGCGTTGGCAGGTGCCTTGTGGCCATGGGGCCAAGACACGAGCTTTCGTTCACGTACACAAGACTCGGGATGCTGAACGATTCCGAGGACAGGCCGGTTTTCAGAGTTTTTCTGCCACGGCAGTTGTGGCGTGTAAACCGCCGGGTAGAAGCTGTTCTAGATAGCACCAGACCAGACGGCACATGGGTGTTGCATTGCGAGGCTGAGGATATTGCGCCCAACGCACGCCGACCAGCTCCCAAAATACGCCTACAATTTACATGGAACCAGCAAACAAATTCCTAGCATTGAACCAGCAGAGACACCGACCGGGATCATGGTGGCGTTTCGAAGCTGAAGCGTCAATGAGCGCTGACACAGATTTTGACAGCCAACGCCGTCAGGCACGCCGTCGCCCAGGCTTGCCGACAATGGCAAAAGCCATCGCAATACGGATCCACACGGACAGGGCAAGACATGGAGCATTGACTGGCTCCTCAGGGCGGCAGCATAGTCGAGCTGAGAGAGGCGGTCCCCCAAGCCACGACGGCATAAATACAAGAAGCTGCTCGGCGGGCAGACACCCCTGCGCCTCGCTCGTCTTCTCCCACTGACGCAGTCGCTCTGCCCAGCATCCACAGATTCCACACCGTCCAGACATGACAATGGCGGACAGGACGAAGCCCTGGGTGGTCATGCCACTATACTACTACCCACTGGACGAGGCCACATGGAAGCCGCTGTACGACGCGTAGGTGATACGAGCCCTCGAGGCCATCTGGAATCATGGAGGCTGCTGACCTTGAACCCGCGCAGCGCCGCGTCCTACCCCGACGTCAACTTCCTCGTCGTGGTCAACCCCAACAGCGGCCCTGGCACGGAGCCGCTCCCCGGCAAAGACTACGCCCGCGAGGTGCCGCGGCTCAACGCCTTCCCCAACGTCCACGCCGTCGGCTACGTGCGCGTCGACTACTGCAGGAAGCCTCTGGCCGACGCCTGCGCCGAGATTGAGCGCTACGCCCGCTGGCGCCGGCACCCCGACGCGCCGCCGGGCCTCCACGTCGAGGGCATCTACGTCGACGAGACGCCCAACCACCACTCGCCCTCGGCGGCGCGGTACCTCGACCACCTCCGCCGCCTCGTCAAGGCCAGCGACGGCCTGGCCGGCGCGCGCTCCACGGTAAGGCTGTGCCCGCCCCCTATATGCCGCCTGGGATATGACCCGACTGACTCGACTCACCCACCCAGGTCGTGCACAACCCCGGGACGCCCCCGGAGGGCGAGCTCGCGTCATTTGGGGACCCTGACCTGGTGTGCGTCTGCGAGGAGCCCTACCACCTCTTCCAGGGGGACGGCCTGCAGAGGCGCCTGGTCGACTGGGCGCCCGAACACGAGCGCTGCGTGTACCAGATCTCGGGCGTGCCCCAGGGCGAGCTGGCCGCCGCGGTGCAGGACCTGTGCCGCCGCGGCCGGTATGTCTTCGCCACGGACCTGGTGGACGACTTTTACGAGAGTTTTGGGCCCAGCTGGCCCGGTTTTGTGGCCGCCGTGAGCGAGGCGGCGCCGCGGGGATGAAGCTTCAATGTCTCGTCGCAAACTGGTGGCAAGAGGACAGGACGTCAATACGGCTGCCCCGCGCTAATTAATACAGTGAACCTGCTCTATAACGATCCTGTATCTTAGCGATAGTCGGGTTATTACGATAATTCACGGTCATCTAAGGTTTTTCCCTAGTAAATCGTTAATAGTCGGGTTACTGACGATATCGTCGGCATCAGGCTTAGTCACCATACAAATCAGGGCTTTTATCGTTATTAGGGGCCTGCTGAGGCCTACAGGGCCCCACATGTGAGGCCTACAGGGGGCCTACAGGGGCCCACATTTAAGGCCTACAGCGCGTTTTTCCAGCCCTGACGCGGTCAAAAAAAAACCTATCCTTGTACATGTACCTTATCATAATAAATATGTATAAAGATACATGCCCCATAATAGTCGCACCTTTACGATAGTCGCCGAATAACGATAAGAAGGGCCTCACGAAGCATATCGTTATAGGCCCGGTTCACTGTATATCATTTATTCGCGGGAATATGTATATGCATAATCGTGCAAATTAGCATGGAGAGGAAAAAATTAAAAAAAAAATTAATTTAGAATGAATCGCCAAGCTCTCCGTCTGTGCGCCGTGGCGTTGCGCCAAGGCACCTTTTCCAACTCTCGCCTTGGCCGGAAGCGCTCCCGGACGGCATTTGGACCACAGTGGCGTCAGGGATCGATGGTATTTCGCGCTCGTGGAACTCCCGCTTGTCCAGCTCGTCCTGGTCTTGCCCTGTTTCATCTGGCCTTGCCGTCCGCTGGTTGGCCGACTAGTCATCCACAGCCGGTCGTCTTGTTTTGGTTTTAGGTGTGTGGATAGTGCGTAGTGTGTCATTTTATTATCTCGCGCTGCAAGTCGGTCCAGTCTAAAGTTTATGCGAAACGTCGATACCTACAGACGGAGCATGTGTATGTGGTAGTTGCATGGCTCAGCCACAGTCCTTATCGCCATCCCTGTACAATGCCCATGCAGCAAGGTGTTTGGCTGCAACTTGCGCGGCTCCTATCAGGGTGCCGGGTCGTTGTCGAATCTGCTTGGCTGACACGCCACGGCCACCATCTGGTCCATCCATGTATGTTGGTACAATGACAGCGTACATACATGGCCCTCTCTCTACGCCGGCACCTGGCCTACAAAGTCCAGCCAGTCGTTGGCAAACGAGTTGTAGAAATCCACACTGAGGCTCGTGATGAAGACGTACTTGGCCAGGTCGGACAGCTCGTTGACGAATTGGCTCAGGGTGCCGTTGCTCATGGTGGGCACCGTGTTGACCATGACGCTGTAGGCGCCCCTGGTCCTGGGCAGTGCGGCCAGAGACGTGCTCCGGACCTGCCACTTGTCGTACGTCTCCTCAAAGACTACGGTGATGTCGACGTCGCTGCCGTTGAAGCGGGCGTCTGGAATCACGCCGGGGTTGTGGATGATCTGGAGAGTCGCGTGTGAGCCGAGACGTCCGTGGGCGCCGCCGGGTCGGCCGACGACGACGACAACAACAACAAGGACAAACATACCGTCTTGCGGCCCTGCAGGCCGGGCGCGCTCTTGACGAAGCTGTCGGCGGCGCGAAGAAACTCGACGGCCTCGGGCGAGTACTCGTGCGGCGCCTCGTCAAAGAAGATGCCGTGCATGGCCAGGGCGCTGGCGTTGCTGAACCAGGCCGAGTAGACGGCCACCTCGGCGGTCACGTCGGAGAGGTTGCGGGTGGCATAGCCCGTCCGCACGTACCCTACGGTTTCTATATTTGGGTACGAGTTGAGGCGGCGGATGGCAGCGTCATAATGGGCGTCAGGCAACGGGCTGCTCCCCGGCCCGCTGCTGGGGTTGACAATGACGGTGAAGTTGAGGTCAGGCCGGCGGCTGACGCTGCGCGTGTTGTGGTCTGGTGTCAGTGACTGATACTCGGTACACATGTAGCCCACGACGGCGGGGACGGGCTCAGGCTGGGAAACTCACGCGTCGTACACCGGACTCCAGGACGAGTCGGCGAGCGGGTAGATGTAGAGCGGCAGGATGACGTTGGTGGGAGGCTGCTGCGGGCGGTTGCGGCGCGGGAGCAGAACAGCCAGCGGCACGACGATGACAATGATGACGGCGACGGCAACCAAGGCCACGCCTGGCCAGAACCACTTGGAGCGCCGCCAGGGCCGAGGGAGATGGTGTTGCAGATTCATGGTCGCCAGAGGGGCCGGTGGTACTGACTGCTGGGCATGCAATCAGCTCTGGGTTTTCTGTGCTCCTTCGAAAAGACAACAGGCAAGCACGAGAGCAGCTGGTCGGGGTGTATGCTTATACGGAGGCTTGCTCTTATACTACATAACATGGCAAAGTTTGGTCGACTGGGCGTCTGCCGTGTGCCTGCGCGGCTGTGATTGGTGCACATGTACGCCAAGACTATCCTGAGGCAGTGGTCGCCAACGGATAACCTTATTTCAGGTCGGGAGGCCGAGTGGCCGACGGCCTTGAATTAAACTAAGAAACGATAATATAAACATCAACTTGCACTTGGAATCACTAGTTGAAGATCCACAGCCCGAGCAGAGCCTCGAAAGGGGTCCATACACATGGCCGCGCGGCGGGCTGGAAAAAAAAAAAAGATGGCATCGAGTCATAAATTTAAAAAAAAAAATGGAAATGAAAAAGAAAAAAGAAAACTTACATCACAAGCCGGGCAGTCTGGCGTCTGCGGCGGAGCCCTCATGGCGTAACCGGGCACATCGATAGCGCCAAGTCCCTGTTCGTCTCGTATCTGGTGCAAATCGAAAGCTGGAGCCATCCTCAGCGTCGTGAGCCCGTATTTGTTCGGCCACTCTTGTCCCTGGATCCATGCCATCTATCCATCATGTCTGTGCACATCTTTTGTGCGACCCCTGCAGGCTGACGCCCGGCACCCATGTCTGACCCTGGCCACCATGGACGCCGCCCGTCCCGGGATCCGGGATGTGTTGTTCTAGTATCTATGTACAAGGTGAGCGATTTCTGCATGGCGACATGTTCATGTATGTACTTTGGCTGTGGGTTTGTGTGAAAGAGCCTCATGGCATGGCACGTTGGAAGAAAAAAATCTGCTGATAGTTGTCGGCCGGCCTTGAAAAAATCAAATCAACTTGGCGTCGCCGACTGGGATGTCATCGGGTCTGGTCTGAAAAACGACGCCTTTGGGCACGGCCTCGAGTCATAGGGCTGACTCTCTCATATGCCGCTACATCTTCAGCCGCAGCGTCTGTAAAATACAGGTTTGCATGTACGTGCACTCTTCTCGGTGACGCCACGGGCCGGCTCCTGCATGGTCCTTGGATACTTTGTGGACTGCCGCACTCGGCGCCATCGAAATAGCTTTGGGTGCCTGGGCACGCACGTATTGACTCCTGCACTAGTCCGGCAACGTCGTGAGCTGAGAGGCAGGGGCCTTGGTGAGGCGCCAATGACGGGCAAGCCAGACCGTTGACGCAAAATCTCGTAAACAGGATACATTGGTTTCAGGGGCCGGGCTCTGCGCACAGGAGAAACTTTGCCATGCTTTTGCTGGTGGGGGCTGCGCTCTCTCGCATGAGCCTGTGCAGTATGTATTATTTCTTTTCGAACATGGCCGTAAAATAAATGGGCTCGGGACGTGTTTCTATTTTTTGTCACTGCCTATTCTGTCGCCGCTTGATGGGTGAGACTCACCGATATATTCCACACTCCGCCTTGAACATGACATGAGCGACTTGTGACACTCCTCTCGTTCCGGCCTCTCTTTCACTTCTTGTTTTCGTTTCAGCATTGCCCTCCCTAATGCAGAATGGCCATTAGCCATCTGGGATTGTCGGCCGTTGGCTGGCATGTAATGATTGACTCTTGGTGGGAACTGGTAAGAAACGTCGCATAACCTGGGGGAGCATGATCGACAGGCGGCTGATACTGACTATGCGCCATCCAATGTCTGTAGCTTCTTGCTGGATTCATACTCGCCAGCATTGTTCTGGGATCTTCCTATCTATTGTACACCGGCTGCCGTTTCATCATTCGACGGGCCAAGGTAAGAAGTCTGGGGATGGCCGCCGCTTGCTTGCAATGGGACTCATCATGATGACGCTTTGTATCTAGACAAAACGTCCGAAATGGTCGCTCCCGCGTCCAGTCGCGCGGTATTTTGCCAAGTTACGGCGAAGCTCAAAAAGTCTCCAAACAAGCTTCACTTCAGAAAAGAATACAGAGGAGGAACTCAACTCCTTCGGCGTCTTCCTCGGTAGCTTTTCTCAACCACCGACCGCAGTCCAGCATCGACTTCTCTCTCGGTGGGACATCCTTGTCGTCGATCCCTTCCAGGACGGCGTCGCCAATGCATTGAAGACCTGCCAGCCCACCGCCAAACATGTCCTTGGCCGCATCGACGTGCACGCGCTGACCAAGAACCATGACGCGGGCGACAAGCCCGCGGGCGTCATCAGGAAGCTGACCATGGTCACGCAGGCGCTGGGCTCGCACCTCAGAGATGGGAACCAGGAACCCCCAGCGTACCGCGGTGTGCTGCTCGCCGGCTTCCGTGAGCATTTCCAGCCGCCAGTCATGAACGAGCTGTGCCGGCACATCGAGGACCTCGGGCTCGACGTATGGCTTGAACTGTCGTGCCCAGAGTACCTCACCGAGCATGAGGCACGCGCCATCGACATGAAACACGTCAAGGGCATCGTGTACCGCAACGGCACGATCCGGCCAGATGGCGACAGGCAAAACTTCTTCCAGATGGAGGCGATGCGCACTGCCATGCGCGCAGTTGCCGCACAGCGTGTGGCCCATGGTCCTGCGCTCGTCATTTGGGAGACGGTTGACGACGACAGGCAGATGCAATTCGCCGTCGTCATGCGCGCCTACAGCTGGTGCACGTACAACAGCGCGCTGTGCTGGATAGGACACGCCGATGCGTTGGTCGATGCTGAGCGTGCGCCCACTCGGTCCATGGCGACCAAGCCTCTGGGAGCCCTCATGTGGTTGAAGAACGAGGCCAACATGGGCGCCCACGATGCTTGGCGTGCGAACGACAAGGTAAGCGAGCAAACCCTAACCCGTGATCGATGGCCCCGCACCCGGCCTTGGCACCGTGCAAAGCTGACCAGGCTTGGCTTGTATGACGATAGATCTCCCCTGCCTGGACCAGTCGGGATGCAGTCTATGACTCTATCTCCGCGTTTCTCCCGGGTCTCTCGGCACAGCTCCGTCTTCTGCCACCAGCAGTCGATGTCTCGCAGACAGGCCCGCCCGTTTCCAGGCATGGGGCCCCGTTGCGAGGCGCGCTCGTGGCAAGCGATTCTCCCTTTGACACCCCAAGAACCAGGCACGCCTTGTCCGTCGTGTCCAGGAACAGCAGCAACCTCGACCTCGACCTCGACCTCGACTCCGTGGGGCTTGGCTGCTTCCAACTCGGCCACAAGGCCACCTTTGACGACTTTGCGCAGATTCGCCTCAACCAGAGCAACCTTGCCGAGCTTGATCTGTTGGCCAAGCTCAAGCCCGACGAGCTGAGCAACGTGCGTAGCCAGATCGAGACACTGTGCGACGACCCCGACCTCAGCCCAAGGACCCTCCGTGCCATCCACGACCTCGTCGATCTGCTTCGCACGTGCACTCCCGACGGTGAGCAACATGCACGCATCAAGGTCTTCTCTGGCCTGCACTCAGGCTTCCAGACGGATTCCGAGACGCAGTACTGGGGAGTGTATGAGCTCGGCCATGAGGATTCCATCACTCTGTACCTGTCCAACAAGGCCAAGGACCGCACAGGCGCGATTCTGCACACGTTCCTCTCCAGCCGTCAATTAACATGTGCCGAGTGCTTCCTAGTCGAGCAGGCCTTGGCCACGAAAACCGGACGCCTCGACAACCCGTGGCAGCTGTGTACTCGCATTGTCCACGATCTTGAGCGCCTCTCGCCGGCCGAGGCCATCCTGTTCCTCAGGCGACTCCAGTCCTCTACCGCCAGCCCGCAGTTCCTGGCCAGGGTTCGCAGCTGCCTCGAGTATCAACTGCTCGATATACCGTCGCTGACCCAGCAGCGTGTTCTCAGCTCTGTCGACTACCTTGGCGGCAACATCTCTGCTGAAGCGCTTGTTGATGCCCGCCTCGCATGGCTTGCCGCCAAGGGATGCTGGACTCCCGACCGCACCAAGGCCATTCAACTTTTCCAGAACGTCGGAGACCGCCTGTACACTGTTCTCATGCAGGGTGAAACCTCGACTCTTGAGCAGCTCAGTCGCGGTATACAGGAACTCGTGCAGCAGGGCCAAGTCGATGCTGGAGTCGACATCTTCGCCCTCGCCGTCTTCAGCGCGTTTCGCAAGCTTGCCCTCGACGAAGTCTACCTCGAGGTCCTGGATCGCAATGTATACCCCAACCACGCTGCCGATCAGGCAGGCTGCTTTGCAGAGAACTTTGCTCTGGGCTCGCGCTGCGACTCCTTCTTTGACGCCACCCCTCGAGCCATCGGTCGCATCATCGCTGACCGCTACCGTGCCTACTACATGAAGTACCAGCCACCCATGCGCGACGAGACGTTTACGGAGCTCCCCACCGCATACGCTGCCATGCAGGTCGATTTTGACCCCGACGACGGCAAGGAGAAGGTGACTGTCGCATACAGGATTACCTTCTTTGCTATTTTCGCCGTCCCTGCACTCATCGATGTCATGTTGCTGACCACCATTGGACGCGGCTTATACCTAACCACCTACATGTCTTCGGAGCAGAAGACGATGGCGACGACGGCTCTTATGCTGGCCCTGCTGTTGAGCGGTGCATTTGGTGGTTGGATCTGCTCTGGTGGAAGTTATTACTTCTACGCAAACACCTTTCCTGCAATGAACTTGTTTGTGTTGACCAGATGGGTTGCCGGTTTCGCGACAACAATCGTCGCCGCCATTGGCGGCTTCATTGTCGTCGCTTTTGTGCAGAGATTATCGGCTGCACTCATCTTTCTGTTCTACTTCCTCATGCTGTCCACGTATCTGCTGGTGCTGAATGCCCTGTCCATCTACCAGCTGCCTGGATCGAGCTTCCTCTCGGGTAGAACCGTCATCTTCTCTTGCATGCCGATCCTTTGCATCTCGCCCATTGTTAGCATGTTCACGGACAACGACATCGTTGTCTACCTCCCCGTCCTGAGCTGCTTCTTGATTGCTCTCCTGGTGGGCGCTCG